GTGGTTCTCATGGGGTTTGTTTGTTTTTAGAGTTGGCTATACTGCTATCGGAACTTGTTTACGGAGCCATGCGGGCACTGCAGGAAGCTATTGAAAGACTATCTGCCTCCATTTTTCCGCGAGTTCCGCGACAATAAAATACAGGTCCTTCATGAAACTTGCCGATGAATTGTACTTGTGTTATTTTGCAATTTTTCTGTAGAGTAAAACTTTGTTTTCGAGCGAATTATGTTATTCAGTTTCAAGTCCATCTTCTAGTCTTGGTATTCGCCGCATCCTTCTCGCGATATAATAGAAAAACCTGCATTAAATGTCTGCAATCTTTGCATACGGACATTTTGTTGAAGAATCAAAAAATTGCACATCTGTAATGAAGGTAGTGCAGCAACAGTGTAAGTGAATAACAGCGTGGACAAGATCTATACTGCAATTTTGAAGCTAAGAAAATGAAGCAGAATTATTTCTAAACGACAAGCTTGTCGCCCAAACCCAGGGTTCTCTATGAGCCAGAAACGTCCAAGAGAAAGGCTGAAAAGGTTACGGCAATATGAGACCCACTGATTCTCTAAATCTTGTTAAATGTGGAATGTAGATAAAAGGTCTCGATTTAGACCAGTAGATGTGATGCTTAAAAAAGTGTGGTTTACCCTCTTCGAAAAACTGTTCGGGCATAGACTACTCACTAAAATTCGTTAGCTTCTCGTATTGGAGTTAATTGACTCCGACCTCCACCAGGAGGCCAGCGTAATGGAGGAACGAGGTAAATCTGCTTTCAGAGAGTAATAATTCCTTTTGCGATGAAATAGCCGGTCCCTTGTAACAAAATTTTTGCAAGGCTGCGAACACTGGTCACATTGCAAACTGGATGCATCATATGCGAACGGCTCGAGGGATGACTTCTATAAATATAGCATGCGCTGCGGAGAAATTTGGAACATGCAATAGTGGCATAAAGCGGACTCGTAACGACAGACTGAGAAACTTCTAGCAGGTGACTTTCTTTTATCCGGTTTGCATGTGCTTTGTAGATATTGAGAAAGCCTTTAGTCGAATTCGGCACAACAATCCATGGGCATAACTGAAAAAAAAATAGTCGATGACCAGCTGTTGTAAATCATTCAGCTATTATAATTTGATATCGGGTGCTGGGTCAGGGTAAATCATATTCATTCAAAACCTTTCAAACATCTATAATGATCCCAGCCATAAACGCGCTTTGTCGCTTCCCCTTGCTCCTGTTGCACAAGAATGGGTTGATGACGTGTATCCAGAGTGAACAACGTTTTATTATAAGAAATTTCGAGACAAGAAATTCTCTTGTTACGGTCATCCTTCGTTGGCATTTTTTGGTATTGATATCCACCGCACTGTGGAATGGTTTGTAGTCAGGAAGGTTTGTAGCATAGCGTCTTACATGTTATTGAGTTTGAAACTAAAGGTCTAGTGTTTTCTTGATTCCCTGCTCGTTGTGTTCTACAAATAGATGGGAGATATTCAACATGCAAGGAATTTCGCGTACCTTGTTTATTGGCAATAGAAAATTAGAGAAAAAAATCGAGAATCGAATCTGAATGGCCAGCGGCGTTTTCGAAGAACTGACCAGAACCGTTACAAGTTAAATAGAATTGAATCTGAAGATCGAGATGTTTCTGTTAAAGTTGATTTTAATCCCCTTTCTCACATATGATAATGAATCTTCGACCGTGACAGAAATTTTTATGGCGAGGTACAAGCGACTGAAGTGGAATTCCTGAAACAGATCGTTGGGTCCAAACGCCTCGACAAAACTCGAAGTTTTGTTATGCGATAAAGTTTTCTTCTCAAGATTGAGAGTCAGATTAACGATGACTTGGGCTCAATTCGTGAATGTTTCATGAAAAGAAGACAAAACTGATACTCTTTGTTCGGCCGAATGCCTGGGGTGAAGTCTAAAATGACCCAAGGCAAGTGCTTCGACAACCTCTGCTCTAACTCGGGTTATCTTCGAAGCTCAGACAATGATGCGGAATTGGGAATGTTAGAGACACTGTCTGATGCCACAGCCGCCGCAGTACGAAACGTTAGTCAGCCATCGATTCTGATTGCCGCCTAGGGTAGGTTTTAAACCGGTGCTTTTAAAGTGTAAGGCAAATTAATAGCCTACTGTGCCACCGCCACTCTTGCCACGTTCTGAAATTTACAGAGACATGCAGCATGCATTGTATGGCAGACTGCAAACCAGTATGTCAACGATTTCTTCCATTATTTCAGAGCACATGAGCATCTCTTCATTAATTGAACGTTACCACAGATTTAGGATTTCGTGTTTAGTTTGAATGGCTGTAAATCATTACATTAGCAGCTATTTTCATCTGAATTTCCATCCGGTACCTATATGTTCAATTCCTGTTATGCCCTTGATGAATAAACTTTTGATGGAAACTTTCCTTGGATGATACATATATTTGCCGTGAAGGTTATGTATTGGAGAGTTCATTTGGAAACTTAAGCGTGGAAAATTTAAGATTTTTTCCGACCTTAATTTGCGCCTAAATCCAAGAAATCTGAATATCCCCTCAGTTCTAGGCTCAAAAAATTAACCAAATTATAACAAATTTACTAGCAAATTGCAAGTTTTTGACATCAGTGATATGAATAACATAGTTGATTTTATGAAATTGCATAGCGTGGTCGCACTGTCCGTTTGCCTTTATTAGTCTGTTGGACCTTTTAGGCAATTCTAGATGATGTTGTTCAATTGTTCTCCAAGATATTTCATTTTTTGCTATGCAATGTTTCTGCGTAGAGCGTTTTTCCGCTGCTATAAATAAAATTTTCGATTCTCTGTTGATGAAATAACAAATTTCTAAATTTTCACTCTTACATGCCGAGGGTGGCTGTAATAAAGTCTTGATAATTAAGTAGAAAATTGTTTGCCTGCGAATCATTACCTGCTAATCAGACAACCTATGATAATAAAAAATTGCTTCTACCACAGTAAGTTATTCACTTAGTTTTGTCCTGCATGTGTTTGTGTTTTAGTTGTGTGTCCATTTTGTAGTTGTAGTAATAGGTTCATTACTGATTTTTCGGTGAATCGCGATGGAAATTTTTCAAAACGGAAACCAGTCATGAATGCACGATTAAAAGATGTGAATGGTTGAATGCAATAATGGATGTGATGGAATCGATAGTCGCATATATGGGGTCATTTGGTTAGCTGAGATGATGTTTTCGCTATGAATTCAACTACTTTTGTGCT